TTACAAAATGTAGCTGCTGTGGGAGTATTCCGTGTTGCTACGGGACATATCGTTTGAACATTTTCAGTTTATATTTGTGTAGTAGCTATATTACGTATGTATGTATACATGGAATGCCCGTATAGTAGGTAAATCGTTCATTAACTACAGCAAGCAAAGAAGGTCATGAAAGCTGTCCAGATATATAAAATAGAAAGGGCATAACAGAAAAAAAATGATTTTAGAAAACTTGCAACACGGCGGTCGCACAATTAATAATTACTTTTGTTTCAATTCCGTGCGCACAGTGCCCGTGGACGATGATGACGAGCAAGTGGATGAGGTGCCAGTTGCCGCTGACGCATTGGAAGATGTCGCTGAGCCTGAGGAGGCTGATGAGCATGTCGAGTCCGCACTAGAGCCAGCTGAACTCGTTGACACTGAGCTGTGGCAGGAATCACGCGCGGTACTAGCTGCACCACTGTCAGCGCCATCAAGTATCGATGTTTGCGATGCTACTAATGCCCCTCTGAAATTATTTGCCGCCAGCGCTGCTTTTAAAGGCTTTGTTTGTGCCAATTGTGCAGCAATGGCATTTGCTATTGTCGTCGTTGTTCCAGTTGTTGGTGTTGCTGCCGTTGTGATGGTTGACATGCAACTGACAGGTGTAACGCGCGCTGTCATTGTTGTTGTTTTGTCCATTGCTGCGGCAGTTGATGTCGATGTTGGTGATAGCAGTCTGCTTTGCTGCTGTTGTTGTGATTGTTGTTTTTGGGCATCTAATTGTGCTTGTAAGCTGCCAACCCCAGCTATGTTAAGCATATGTGGCAATGCTGTTGCAGTTCCGCCGCCTCCTCCTCCTCCCACGCCCGTTGCTTTTGTGTTGTTTGTAGCTAAAGCTTTCGGAGTTGCTGTTGCTGTCGCTTCTGCTGCCAGTGATTCCATTGTTTGCATACTCATAGCTGTCACCTGTTTGTCGACGCCACTATTTGTCAATTGCGTTGCATCCAGGTTGGCGGCTGTCATTTCGGTAGTATGCGTTGTTGTTGCTGTTTCCATTTGACTTGCCTTTGCTGCTGCCTCATCGGTAGTAGCAAATGGCTTCAGTGCTGCAGCGGCTGTTGTTGTGTAGCCCGGTAATCGCGCCAGAGCGGCTATTGCACCGATTGTAGATGTTTTTTGTTGGTATGCTGAGGGATTACTTGCACTGGTTGCTGGTGTTGTTTTCGATTGCTCAGCCGGCGCACTCAGTTTGGGCGCTGTCAAATTTGTTTTTGCTTTAATGGCCGACTTGTTGGGCTGCGCATAAATGTCACTGATGTCAGCATTAATACCCTTGCTGTTGTTGTTGCTGTTGTTCCTCTTAGTAGGCATATTGTTGTGTACACCAACATTTTGATGGCCTGTCAAATTCATTACTGGGGCTGTAAATAAGGTAGGTGTCACATTTGTTGCTGTTCCTGTCTGGCTTCCTGTTTGCATGGCTAGCAAATTAGCTGTAGCTGGCTGTTGTATTGCGTAAACCCGCTCTGTATGATGTGTAGGTTGTTGTTTCTCATTTTGTTGTTGTTGTTGTTGCTCAAATTTATCGTCCACTCCCACGGAGGAAATTGGCCGACTTTCGAAGCTTTGTAGGCCAGCATCAGCGCCGCTACTTAAGAATGTTGTTACGCCCGTAACACCTGCTGTCGTAAACGTAGGCGTCTTTGAGCCGATTTGAGTGTTGGTTGGCGCTAATGACGCGCCAGATATGCTATGCATTGCTGTTGTTGTCTGCGTCGTCTTTGCATCTTCCACTCTACTACTTGGCAGGCTATTAAGGACCACCGCAGCTTTGTCGGTTGTGGCTGCCTCATTTCGCTTAAGCGTCGAGTAATTAGCATCAGCAGCGCCACCACACATCTTTTGCTTCTGCTGTGGTATTAAGGGGCCCACAATAAGCGTATTCTGCGTGATTGGTGGTTCTTCTTCTTCCTCAGCTGTGCAATCGTGTGCCAACATCAGCGGCGATGTTGTAATATTGCTGCTGTTGCGACGCTGCGAAGGCTTACGTCCCAGTGTGGAGATGGTGCGAGGTGGTGGCAACGGCGGGTAGCGCGTTCCCATGCTGCCGCCCATGGTGCTGCCAAAATGTGGCAGAAAACTATTGGGCGGCAGTGAATTGCGTTTGTTGGTGGTGCGCAAATCGAGCGTCATAGGTGGTGAATCGTCTGCACTCGCAAGAAATTTCACATCAGCGTTGGTTGTTGTTGTGGTTGTTGTTTTCGTTGTGGGCAAAACTTTTGGATAATTACGACTTTTAATAACTTGCAGTTGCTGCGCAGGTGTGAGTGCATGTGCGAGCGCTGCAGCGTCGTCGTCATCGCGACTAGTCACATTTATATCCTCGCCCACAAAGCTGGTCACCTTCTCATCTTGCTCGGTGGTGCCGCATATGCTGCTATAATAGTGCTGCATGTCGACGGGGTCGGAATGCGAATGCGCATGCTGCGGTGTTTGCTTGTATATCGGCAATTGTCCCTGTTGTGGTAATTCTGCCTCGCACGGCTCGGTGGCAGCTGAGTGCTGACGCACAAGCGTATAGCGCGAGCTATCGAGCGAATTTTGTGGCGTGAGCAGCTCCTGATCGACCACCTCCACTTCCTGGCATATTATTATATTTCGGCCATCTGCCTTCAGCTTAAGCGCCTCAATGGGCTCCTGTTCCAGCACACTGCTGCTGCGCGTCTGTGGTGTGGCATCCACGGCGACACTCACTTTCGGTGGCTGCACTGGCTGTTTGAAACTGCCACCGGCGCTGCTGCTGCGTAGCGAAGAGAAAGTGGGCGATGATGATTTCTTTGAACCACCTTTGGAACTATCGGCACCACCACCACCGGCGCATGCCTTCGCCTCCGCTGCGGCACCTGCGGCAGCCGACATCCAAGCGCATACCTTTGTGTGCGCATCGACAGTCGATGTGCTTAGCTGCCGTGTCATTTGAAAACCATTGATGGGTGAACGTTCCGTTTTCACCGCTTCATATGTGTTCGATTTGCGTACAATATCCAGTATGTAGCTTTCATCTCCGTCATTTTGCTTTGAGCGCTTGAACTCATCATCGGTAGTGCCGTCATAGCTGAGTATGCCGCCTAGCTTGCGTTGCATTTTGTGCGCCTTCTTCTTCTTCTGCAGCAAGAAGGTTGAGTAGATGATGACATTGAGCACAATAAAAACGGCAATCAGTCCGATGAGCAGTTGTATTGTCGTCTCTGATTTGGCAACTTCCTCTTTGTTGCCTGCACTACTGGCACTACCAATGCTTGCGGCATTTCCTACGGCACTTCCTGCAGCATCACCTGCACTACCGTAAATTGCGTCACCTCCACCTCCACCTCCACCACCACCACCACCGCCACCATTGTCATCTTCTGTAATTTCCGCTCTTGGCACACCATAAATTGCATTGCCGCCGCCAGCCAATGCCGCACCAGTGCCAACACCGAGCCCAGTAAAACCGCCCAAAGCATTTTCCCTAACTGCGAAACCCGCACCAGGCACTCCAATAATGCCACCCATGCCACCTGCGGCGGTTAACGCATAGAGCTTCTCATCATCCGCATGCTTGGCTACGCCAAAGGTCGGTGGCGCATTATACATATTCTCCGCCAAAGTTTCCATGCCTACCACGCCTCCACCATTCGTACTGCTGGCGCCTGCCTCACTGCTGCCACCCATTTTCCATGGCTCCTGGAGTAGCAGTTTCAGTGTGCGTACCGGATCCTCGGCACCATTATCACGTGTGCCAAATTGACTCATGTGCCCGGTTATTACTTCGCTGCCACCTCCACTACTGCCATGCCGCTGCATCGAATATGTATTGTGCGTTGTGGCAGTTGTTCCACCGCGTGGATGCTGTGTTGCAATAGCACCGTCGGCTCCATCGTATACGCTTGCATGCAAATACGGTTGTCTTTGTATGTTTGCGATTTGATTCAGTTCATCGGGTAGCTCTTTGTTCCAGAAATTCATGTAGATTTGCCGGTACTTGTAGCCAATCGATGGTGGTATGCCTGCGAATATAAAATGAAGAAGTTTGTGAGTGCTTATGCCTGAGCGTGCTTATGTGTGTGTGTAAGTAAGTGAACAAATATAGTATGAAGTAGACGAGAGTTCTTTCATTGGGTTATGTCGTACTGAGTTGAAAAACTGAAAGCCTCTTGGCACTGAAGAGCTCAAGTAGGAGTGCTATATTGAAAGGGACGCTGTGTGGGCGGGGAATTCCACAGTAAAATGTTTAGTATAATATTAAAGTCAATCACTTGTACAGATAACTCAGGAAATAAGAATAAACAGTATCTAACATTTACAAATAAAATATATATTAATAGTTAAAATCTTTTTTGATTTGTAAAATTTTGATGTATAATTTTGCTTTAATATTTTCTTTGGGAGGCCGCATAGTTCAATTGCGATACCCTGAGCAAATTTATCTGGTCCGGGGTTTGTTGCTTTCGGTTACATAAGCGTAGAATACAAACCGATTTCCTGAAAATATTTTCCCACAAAAAAAATGTATTTCTATTTGCATGATTTTCTTCTGCTTTTAGTAGAAATATTTTTGTCTAAGAAATGCTTTTTTATCTAAAGAACATTGTTTTCCAAAAATGAGATGTTTCTGTATGTATGTAATTTTTTTCATATTTAATTTTTTTTAATTACTCCTTTTTCCTAAAAAATCAATTTTCCAAAAAACAACTTTTATATAAGGAATTTTTTTCTGAAACCTAGATTTTTCTAAACATTTTTGTTTTCTATAAATTCACTATCCTCTAAAACTGATTTTTTTCCGATAGTGGTTTTTAATTTTTGGTAAATTTTTCTGGTTTTGGAATAAACTTTTATTTCTAAAATTTTAAGGTAAAAATAAATAAATATGAGAGGCACGTTACGGAAAAACAGTTAGCTTTAAAATAATTCACACAGTATGCTTTGTGAAGCATGTTTCACTTGGTCCTAAAATGTAACCACTCCCACTTTCTGGCGAATCCTAGTTATTGCTAAATAGAACCTACCATTTCCAAACCTATATAACTTCTTATAGGGCTTGGAACATGTAAGTTATGTGACTCATAATACACTGTCTCGTTAGCGTTCCGATGGGGAGTCGAACTTTTCGTTTTGAGATCCTACTCGAGCTCCCAGTAGAGATATGATTGTGGAATCAAACTAACTCCAACGGGAACGATAGAGCTAGGTTAATCAATGTTATTAACTTCATCGAATAGGTCTCAGCCAGCAAAACGCTGCAGTAATCTGGGTGGCTGTAAGCCTCTCTAGAAGATAAAAGCTGAGAGAATTCATCAGGTTAGTTTTGTAAAGGCTTTTATGAATGTTGAAATCAAGTCCAGAATGATATTAAGTTGGCAGGTGGTAATAAGAGTTTCAGGTATGCAGTTTCAAGTTCACTGAAAATTTCTATAATAAATAGCACGATAACCTATCGGCCGATGTGCAGAACATACTTAAACTCCGTAGAGCAATAGTATTCCTTCTAATGTCACCTGAACGCTACCTGCTTAGTGAGATAGCTTTGCTTCATATATATAAAAAATATAATATCAAAACGGCATTTATACACTCAATATCTTTTTAAAAAAGGAACGGGCTTAAGGATCGAGAGCACAAAACCTGGACATTGACAACAAATGACGGCAACAGTGCTAGGAGATTTACTGAAATTACGGAAGTTACCAAGAAGATACGAAGAAAACTTTTTAGACTTTAGATGAAACAGATAAAAGTTCAGAGATGGACAACGATATTCTACAGACATAACTCAAAAAATATACCTACATAAAACGAAATAGTTATAAGTTAAATATATAGTTATTTAAAATAATTCGGTATGTTAAAACTTTTTACATTCAAACTTGAAAATCCGTTTTGTTTGCAGTGTAAGGCTTTAAAATTGATTTAATAGTTTGGGCTTAAGATATCTCTAAAATAGGTTTCACTTCAATTTTCCATTTTGCTACAATGCCTCCTCAAAAGACGTCTGTGGTCATCCAATCGATCCCCAATCAAGGAGAATTTATTTAAGGCCACTTTTTACAAACAAATCTAAGCACCTGAACTAATTAAATATTTTTTCTGGCTTATTTGTATGGGTCGGTCCATTGTGTGGCGTACCTATGAGCCATGAGGCATCCAAAAGAAGTCCGTCATCACATTCAGTGACTCTCGCGCAGACGAAGATCTGCAGCTGCAGCGGAAAACTGATGTTACACTGGCCCAGTTGAGGTATGGACATTGCAGTCATGGGAACTTACATCTATTCTGCCTCAACCCCGACATACAATATACACAAGTAGCTGAAGAAGGTTTCCACTACACCACCAACCATCTCTTAGGCGTACTATGGTGTACTACGGTCACTGGTTGTTACCGAAATCCTAGAAAAGCTAAATGGCTATAGATTTAAAGCATATGGATATTCAGATGGTCTAGTCATCTGCGTTGTGGGCTGACATGAGGACATTATTTCCTCCAGATTGCAAGTTGCGTGCAGTTTAACGGAAGACTGGTATGTTGCAAAGGGATTGTCAATAAACCCACTGAATTCCAGCGTTTTTCCATTTACCAAATGAAAGAAAGTCAGCTTGACTACGCCCACCTTGGCCAGGACAGAAATTGAGTTCTCAGAAGAGGCTAAATAAATATCTATGAGTAACGCTCAATAAAAGGATCAATTGGAACACACATCTCATGAATGTTACCAAAAAGGCTACCCCTTTGAGGTCACTTGGAGGCTCTCAAGCTAATCCAGAATGATCCCACTATCAAGTTCACAGATATAATGCTATCCAAGTTACCTTTTGACAAACTCTACAAGAACAAAGTACCTGAAAGGGAGTGCTGTGGTGCGATAATAACTATGATATTCAAAGGGTCTCAAGTACTTGGATCAAGATTTCATAAAAGTCTGCCAAAGGGATCATCCCAACCATATTACAGGCGGAAGTAATCGTAATATTGATCTGTGTTCAAGAACATTTTCGTAGAACGACAAACGGGGCTAGATTAAAATTATGTCGGATAGTGAGCAAGCACTAAAGGCCTTAGATTCATTTAGATCGACATAAAGGATTGTGGATAGTTGTAAAACAAGGAGCCCATAATATGGTTACACTGTGGTAGGTCCCGAGGCATTAAGGATTTTAAGGCAAGGGAAGGGCCGACCATATGTACCGACTGGGATAGCGTTCAACGTCTTTGGCAATGTTCAAGTGCATTGTATGAAAGTCTTAACCCCATCGTCAATGCATTGATTAAACTCACTAAAAAGGCCCTTAAACATGGAAAACCTTGGAGAAGACGAGGGAAATATCTAGACTTACTATCTCTTTTGTCGATTCTAAACCCGCTTTCGATAGCAAAAAAAAGAAGCTGAGTTCAGTTTACTTGGTCTAAATTTTCTTATGCGGTTTCAGCGATAAAACAAAAGAGTAATATTGCTCAATAAAAGGCAAAATAAAACAGTCATTCCCTGTTTTTTTTTTGGTGATAACTCCAACGTCATAACTTTCTGCTTACTTAGACCTTTTGTAAAGGTCATTATTTAAGAAAAATATGTATATAAATATAATTTCCACTAAGAAAAGGCTTACCATAAAACCATTTGTCAGCTGGTGGCCCCATTAAAATATAATATAATAAGAAATCTGTAATGAAACCCACCACTCTCTGCTCAAATTAATTTTTTATTTTTATAGAAGGGTGTATACTTTTTAGAACTTTAATAAAATAAAAAATTCATTCGAATTAAATTTATTAACTTTGAAAAGATAAGCTCTTGCAATTTAAGTATGGAATGCACCACCAAATGGCTTCCTCCTTCACAAACGTAAATATGTATACATAAGTACATTTATAGACATGCAGCCCTCCTGTTGCGCTGCTCTATAAGCGAAAACCAAATTGAATTAAACGGCTACCAATTAGTGGAATACTTTGCTCTCGAAAGAGTATATATTTAATGCTTTAATGGCCATTGATGGTTGCAGTTGTGGATGAGCAATCGACGTGCACATACACACATAGATTTTCATAGTACGAACGCCATCGAAGATACAAATGCTTGTACAGCGCAGACAGGCATGCGTTGGAATTTATTGAGAGAATGCCAACCCTTTTAGGCATTTGCAAATCCTTATTAATTTAATGGTCTATTACGGATTTTATAAATTACAAGAATTTACAGTCGATTTGAGTTATGTTATGCTGTGCTAGAGAGCAGGAAAGACCTTGCTGCAAGGATATTAATCTTCTATTGCATTTTCCTAATTATTACAGCATAATGGCTTTGATTATAAATTGTTGTAAAATAGCAAACAAAAAAATACACGAAACAATCGGGGGTTTTTAATTTCACAGTTGGTAGGATGTTGTAATTAGGATTAGGATTTTCTAATTAAATATTTTGCAACAGTACCTTTACAGTAATAATTTATTAATGGTTTGATACAAATACTTTATGGAATTTATTTTACAAAATGAAGTGTGGTGCATTAAAGGTACAGAAAATGCCTTCAATATACAAATATACGTGCATATATAGACAAAATTCGTGTATACATACTTATTTACGTACATGCACAATTGAACGCTTAATGTGTATTTGTGTATATAGAATCTGCCTTAATAGGTTAATAAGAAGCGAAACATTTTATTTAGATTGTGAAATTGTAGGACAACTCAAAAGTGGGTTTGAAAAAGTTTGCTGGAATGGTTTTTCATTGAACTCAAATTTTCTCGACCATCTTATATTCATCTACTTTATAAAAAAAAAGCTCCCCATTGAACTTTAATTTAGTTTATTTTCCGACAAATGTTTTTCGCAGAGCTGCAATCACTAACGGCCCGTTTTACGAAAGCATTTTAATGGTGATTTAGTTGCTCCCAAAATATGTTGCCCTTCCCTGGTGTAAAGTGTGTTACACTCAACCCTTTAAAAGGGCATGATTTTAAATTCTTGTCCATGTCTAGCTCACGCAATTCGCAATATTGTCGTTTTAAGCAACTATCTGATTTTCAGGGCAACCATCACCCCTGACAAAGTTGCTTCAAAGGGCCGATAATGTGCATTTTTGCCTTACAAGAGTGTGGCATTTTCAGAAACGAACACAAAATTTTCTCACCGTTTGCCGTTATTTTAAAACTGAATACGAAGGAATAAGGGGTCAAACAAAAGGCGACATTTTTGGGTACAAACCAAAATTACCGTAAGTTAAAAAGTTATCTCTTTCTGTCAGTTTCCATATTGAGTTCAAATAAAAATTATTTTTCACCGCAATTGCTTTTGTAAAACTGGCTACAAGTCCAGCGTGGCTGGCCCATTTTTTAAACTCTATCTTTCTCAAGACTTTATAAGATTTAAAATTATATCAAAAAGACTAAATTACTTTCGTTCATCTCCTTGAACTCTTCTGTGACACCCTTTCTACTGACATTATTGGTACATTGAATATTTCCTTAAATTATATACTGGCACTAAACTCCATTACCTACTCCCAAGGGATGGCATTAACAGAGTGATGGTTTTCAAAAGAAACTTCAAGATTCACACTTATAGCAAGGCAACGCGTTTAGGGCCAGAGACTGAAGCTTCCGGTGCCCCTGGGTACCATGCCTAGCACATTTCAAGCGGAGGTCTATGCCAACAGTCTGTGTGCTGAGATTAAAATTCAAAGAAATTATCGAAGCGAGAGGATACTAATTGCGAGCGATAGTCAGAGGGCTCTTAAGGCTCTCTCATCATTCGAGATCGAGTCTTTTTTGGATTTGGAGTTTGTAGAGAGGGTTAATACTTTGACTGAGATCAATAATATTCAACTGATATGGGTACCAGGGCACATGGGGGTCGACAGTGATGAGCAAGCTGATCAGTTGGCCCGAGAGGCTGCAGCTTGGACGCCGATAGGATTTGAGCGCCGCTCCGCCGCTCATTGCGTGGCCTGGGCCTAAGGGTTCACCTGTATTATTTAGCAGTCTACTCAAGTGACCTGTGTCGATTTTGTGACGCTGATAAATAGACTCCTTTGCACCTTATTATGGAGTGTGAGGCCATTGTATGTTGAAGCGAGAGGAGTATAGGGCACCTGTGGCCAAGAGAGATGCACATATACTCTCTATCACCGGAAAATTAACAGTACCGATTTGAAGGAGAAACTTTTAACAGGGGTATTATTACTTATTTTACGTAATTTTCGATTACGAAATGAAAGGAAATAAATGCATACATTTATAGAATATTATTTAATGATAACTTACATAAATTACGTTTGTCTTTAAGATGTATACAAAATTTAGGCATATCGGATCGCCTTTTGCAATTTTTTTATAAATTTCCCCATTCGTCATACAGAGTCGCTCCATTAAAATACATTTGTTCACACTTTTATTATGAATTTTTTTGAAAAAAAAAATCTGGCAGCATTGGTGGGACCAAAATAGTTTCTTACAAGTTAGTTAGTTATATTGTTTAAACTCACCAATATTCATGTAGGCTTGTGTACGTTTGTTAAATTCAGGCCAATCGAGATCGTAGCGGTCCCATTCTAAGGCATGCAAATTAATAAAGTTACCCTTCCAAGGAGCCTTTGGATTGCTATAAAAAATGGAAAAATAAAAGAAACAAAGAATAATGGAATTACTCTAATGTTCGCTTAAATGTCTCTCGGCAGTGCACAATCTATGCAATACAATCAAATTTAAAGATCATGAAAATTCACTTACAACTGGCCATCAAAGAAATTTAGAATTTTCGCAAAGTACGAAACAGTAACATCTACTACATACATAGTATAACGGCTTGTGCAAACAAATAAAAATAAAAATTTATTTCTCTATCCCATTCTATGTATTGCCTCAATCAGTGTGTGGGAATGCCAACACACAGCTGTGCGTGCATGGACACACATAATCACATACAAACAAAGAATTGCATATCTGCAGGCGCAAGGAAATGTTTTCCAATTCATACATACGCAGTGGCGTACACCGTAGCTTGCAAACATTCAACAAGACTGCAATCTTAAGCGCATTTGCAATAAAAATTCAATTTACCGGCTATTGCAGGAGATTTTTTTTTAGGTAAAATGCATTTCGTAGAATGCATTTGTGCATTTATTGCGCAAAATTTAGAATCTTATCTTGTGAATGCGAAAAAAAATAAAAAAATTAAACAAATCCACACAAGCGTTAAAAGGAAAAAGATTTAAATATAAGTGCAGAGCATTTATGCTGCTTCGGCGCTTACCCTGTTTTTGCAAAATTCGTCCAGTACGTCATGACGGCCTCGGAGAGCAGCTTTTCCTGTGCACCATACGAATTGCTGGGAAAGGGACCGGCCGGTGCAAGTGGTGCACCGAAAATGAAGGCCAACTCTTCGCCTGTAATGCTGTGCGGCAACTGCCAGTAAATAAAAATAAAGAGGAAATTGAAAACATGTATGCTAAAGAGAAAGAGCGAGCTGTATATAAAATTAAAGTGATTACATTTTTTTTCTATATGCTGAAGGATACTGTTGTTATGGCGCTTGTAAGAATATTTGTAATCACTGAAATGCATGATGCGCATTTTATAAAAACAAATTCATTTTTTGGTGACTTTCATATAAACTGCAACGAAAAAATTTCTGTGACACTTAATTAGTCGAAATGGTAGGCTTCGATTATACCGTACCTGTTTTCTTTTAATGTATGGCATTTTTTCGCGATTTGGCCAATTTAGAAATATTAAAAAACTTTGCAATATTTGCTCCCAAAAATATTAAATCATTTGAAATATTCAGCAACATTTTGTCGCTGCTAAACTCGTTGTAAAATTTGCAAATCCATAAATCTCTTTAAAATTCCGCGAAAACGAATAGTAAATTAAAAATTCAGGTATCGCTGATACTTTCATTTTGTTGAACTTTTAATCGACACAGGGTGTTCCATCGTTTTTTTTCGATACTTATACAATAACTATTGCACAGAAAAGAAAGTATTATACACGGTTGCATTCAAAAAGGTCAATGCATGCGTCGAAAATATCATGTATGGTCTAAAAAAAATTTTACCTAAAATCTTGGTTCTACCATAAGTGTACTTAGTACGTAAATATTGGTTTTCGCTAACTGGCTTCAGTATCGCATTCTTCACAGCTGTCCTGCTTTCGCTAGACTAAGTTTTAAACATGGAATGGAATTTTATTAAAACTCTGAGACGCTCTGGGGAGCTGTGAAGAATGCGACGATTTTAAGTCGTGCGTCGTCAATTCCTATTGGGCAGTTAACTGTAGCGCTTTGTTTCCTTAACCCTAGAATGGTAAACATAGCCTGTGAGGCGTAACAATTTTTTGTTTTTTGCGATAATTCCATTATGTTGCCGAAATATTCATACGTGTGTCGCCTAAATATGAGGCAATGTTTACCAATAAAGGATTTTTTTTTTGTATAGGAAACTTTTAATAACAAAATTTTTTCCAAGTCATAGGCATGATATTCTTTTTAAATATGTTAATTTGATCTAAAATCTATAAGCTAAAGAAATTTTACAAAAATATCTGGAACGGAAATATATTTAAAATATGTGATCTACCAATATGACTGTGACAAATTTCAGATATAAAAAAATGAATTTTTTTATAAATTTTTGTTAAAAAAGATATAGTAAATACGTATTTGCTTTTGTTTGAATTGAATTTTTTTTTAATAAAGGTGAATTGTTCGTTGATTACAAAGTTAGCCTCATAGGCGATATGTTCACGCTTAAAAGGCTAAAAAATCTATTTACCATTCTAGGGTTAAGAGGCTTCTTCCTAGTGAGATCTTAAATAGTAGAATGGAGCTATGACACTAAAAGCATATTTTGGTCCACTCTGAAACTAAGAGTTGATTAGCTATTCGAAACTTCTGAGCTGAGTTACACTTGTGAAAAAAAAACAGCTCCGCAGGGGACAATAAATAGTGAAGAAGTGTTCGCAGAAGAGTTAACATCCTTTCATACGCTTACACTTTGTTATGGTCTGACTTCGCTTCATGTCACTGCGGCACATCAAAGAAGCCAGTACTCCAAATCGTCCCAAACTGTAGCCGAAAAGCTTAAGAAAAAATTTATACATAAATAAAAAAAAATAACATTATAAATAACAACGAATGTCCGAATGTAAAAAGCTATTTTCTCCAACAAAAGAAGAAAGTCTTTGTCCAATGCGAGTTTAGATTTTAATTGTATAGAAAACTATTTGATTCGCTATGTGTGATTTTCTACTGTGAAACTGTACCTACACATTTGAAGCACCCTGTACATGTATGTAAAATAAAAATCATTTAAAAAGTATCGCCGTTAATATTTTTGACATTTTTGCACGAGTGCTTGCGCCCGTGTATCCTCGGGTGTTTTAAAGGTATTAACTGTCTGCGTGTTCATGTACACATGCGCTTATTAAATATGGAGGCACATACACTTGTACTTATACACATAAGCAAATACTACTATGCAATATATTTTCATTATTTTGTGGTTTATATGTTGGCCTATTTTTTTGAAGGATTATTTCCTGCCTTTTTTTGAACAAATTTTGCTAACGGAAATTGCATTAGAAATTTGAATTTTCAGAGTTGAATAAGCTTAGTGGATATTTTTCATGCATGAATTTTTCGTTCTATTTTAATTAGATTTTGTACATAGATACATTGTCTTTATCCCTGTATAATATTTTTATTTTTTTATTTTTTTGGTTTGTCTCTAAATCGCGCATTTGCAGTAGAGTATGTAAATTTTTTGCCAAAAAATATCCATGACAAATTATTGGTATTTTCCACGCATATTTTCCGGAAGGGCAAAATTAGTTTTTGAGTTGTGGTTAATTTGTAGTAAAAGATGAAAATGTCATAAAGCCATGCTATCTTTAGTTGTTTTACAATTCAATTAGGGAAAATTGGTTATAGTGGGAATTTTAAACTATTGGAAATTGAAAAAAGTCCTTGCATTTTTCAACTCATATTTAAACTTCACTTCATACTTTGTACTTAATATCTTTTATTACAAATGCAAAGTATACCAATAAATATAGGTACAAAATATTAGTTTTAATACTGATACTTTTATATATCACGCTGATATTGATACTGACTAATACTTGTACTGATACTGACATACCAACAGTAACACTAGTATTCATAACTATACTAGAACGACCATTGAACAAGAATAAATTTGCCCATCAACCGCTATCAACCAGGCAAATGGTCTACAACCGCATGCAACATGCCCGACGTTTTGCAAAAACATCGGGTGACAAAAAAGGATTATTCACCATCAAAAAGGCGGTGAAAACCTTATTCGTTTGCACACGACTTTCTTACGCCAATAGGAATCTCGAACTTCCGAATTTATATCCGGAAATAAGACATGATGCATCGAGATTCTAGTAAAATTCATAAATGACACATAATGCACACGGGTGACGAAATAAATTCAAAGCTAGTAGATAAGCTCGAATAACTTTAAGTATCTATTGCGGATCGAGCATCCTGGTGTACAAGAATGCCTCTAAAGAGAAAAAGCTTCCTAAAAGCATTTGCATTATGTCGGACAGTTAGGCTAGCGCTGAAGTCCCACACAATAACAACAGAACTTGTAAAGGTCTTAAATGCTCTTGAAATCAAGAAAGCAGTATTACTGGGCTGGTGCCAGGGCGTGAGGACCATGATGGCACTTAACAGGCCGACCGCCTAGCAAAACACAAAGCTCCCATAGTATCACGCAAGCGAAATGATAAAAAAAAGGCGGACAAAAATTCACAAAAACACAGGGACTAGAGGGAATATCCAGCACTAACTTGATTCTGCTCTGGACATCCCCTCCGGTGTCTGTTTATTTGTGCATCCCAAGCAGTTTCTAAAAGGTTCACAAATCTAGGCAGGCAGGACCGTCTCACCCTTACTGTGTTCTTCTCGGAACACTACTCCCTGCGCTATTACCTCAGTAAAATGAATTTTTCAAACACGAGTTATTTTAGCCGGACTTATTTACCAAAACGTTTCACACATGCTTGAAAGAAGGAAGGCACACAAGGGAAAGCGCTTGAGAAAATTATCTGCAACAGACTCATAACTATCGCAAAACTTAAAGGTTTTCTATCGGCCTTACAGTTTGGTTCAGAAAATCCCGGTCGAATACAGACGTAATTAAATCTGTGGTCAATATTAACAAAGAGGTCATCGAAGGCAAAAGGTTCCGCGGAGGAAAAGAAGAGTACTGCGCGGTAATAATGCTGGACGCAAAGAACGCCTTTAACACTGCGAGCTGGCAGCGAATAATGGAAAGTCTCCTTAACCTTCCTATACCCGCGTTAATTTTTGTAACACATATACCCGCGCACGGTCTCACAGACCGAAAGTTCAAACTACATAAAATATTAGTTTTTTCAAACAAAACTAAAAACAAATTATTATTTTTCAATCCCGTAGATGTAGTAAAAAAATAAAACTACGCATTAAATTTGTATTCACTTATTTTATTGATTTTAAGTGATTAACAAAAAAGCCATCAAAATCGATAATTTTTTCTTAAGTACTACAAAAACAAAACAATAACATATTTTTTTATTCACATAAATAAAAATAAGTTATAATAACTTAAAAACACTTCTTGGACAATACATAAATTATAAATTATATTAGTTTTTAGTCTTGAAATAAAAAATCATGGCATATCGCAATTCATGTAAAAATCTGCCTTAAAAAGAAAACTTACGCTTTTACCTCTTCAAAAAAAAACACAAAAAATGCCTTTTCTAGCTTAAAAAATATTTATTTGCAATAAAAACGTCAAACTATCTTATTCATTATCCTTACGGAAACACTCAGGACACACCATAATAGCATGTTCCAAACAAAAATACTGTCACAAAAAATTACACATATACCCGCGTCGGTCTCACAGACCAATTTTTATAAAATTCACCAACACGCCTGTCTAGTGCAAACGCCAAATCAACACTAATATAGAGCTTGCAAGAAAAGCGGAAGCTAGCAGTAAATTCAGCTTTGTAGAGTTTCTGGAAAAACAAAAAATTACGTAAAATCATTTTCTCGGTCTCACAGACCAACGCGCGGGTATAGGAAGGTTAAAATGGAAGCTCCAAGATACATCATAACAATAATAAGGGAGCGATAGGGGCCTTGAGGAATGCAGCGCCATGACGGGAGTGCCTCAGGGATTTGTTCTCTGACCGCTGCTTTGAAATCTATTGTATGACGCCATCCTGAGCATCGATATGGCCCTCGTACAAAGATAATTGGAGATTAATAAAATGTTGATGCATTCAAACACCATGTTTTTGAGGTTCTGATATCACTGTGGCAAAAATGCTTCACCAATCAGGTAGTTTGAGCTTATGCTGGAGGGAGTTTGAAGTTG